ACAATGTTGTTTGGGAGGGTTTCAAGAAAAAACTAGAAAACAAAACACTCTCATTCAAAAACAAACTCCAGCATATGTATTTGCTAGACACGACTGGAACCTTAAACGGGACTGGGTTCAGTGGTCAGATGAAACTAAACAAATGAGCATTTTAGCAGCAAACACTCAAGATGGGTTTGGTGCACACGGGGATAAAAAAGTACCCCATGTGAACAATGAAATATACTGCTGGATCTTTAATGTTGTGGGCTTATTCCTGGATATCTTGTTCAGATAGATGGCATAATGGATTCTATAAAATACCAATGGATAAAAAATTAAAAACTGACTGTCCATGCTAGAAATCTTATAATGGGCTATGGCTGGATCTTCCAACAGGACAATGATCCACAAACAAACATCAAAATCAACACAGAAATGGGTCACTGAGAACAAAAGCAAGCTTCTGCCTTGGCCAACCCAGTCCCCTGAGCTGAAGCCTGTAGAAGATGAGGAGAAGCACCAGCATGCAGCTGTGAATCTGACGGATCTGGAGAGATTTTGTGTGAAGGCATGGTCTCTGATCTCCTGTCAGATGTTCTCTAAACTCTTCAGGCATTAGAGGAGAAAACTCAGAGCTGTTCTCTTGGCAAAAAGAGGTTGCAAAAAGTATTGGATAAAAGGGTATGATTAATTATGACCAGTGTGTATTAAAGAAAAACATTTATTTCATAATGAGATTTCTCTCCCATTTTAAATTCTTATTCTCCGATGAAAGGTTTGATTTTAGTACATTTTTTAAATTAAATATCTAAAGGATTGATGATACAGATTAATTTTCACAGCCTTCTTTGATCATATTTACCAAGGGTATGAATACTTTATCATCATATCTTCAATAAAATAAAAACTATAAATGTATTACATTTTATTGTGATTTTTTAACAATTTATCTCTAAAAGTACCATATTTTTTATGTAAAATATGCTTATTTTTATGTTATATTTAATATTTCTTTTACTTCAATAACAAAAAAATAAATAAATCATTCCAGTAAGTTCAAACCTAAAAATGTGGTGACTTTCGTGACATCTGGGGCCTCATTTATAAAATGTGCGTACGCACAGATTTGATCGTAGAGTGTGCGTACGCTGAAATCCACGGCAGCGTTCATATTTATAAACGGCAGGGTCTGAGCAGGCGTACGCACTTCTCCTTGTGGCAAAGTCGGAGTACTGCAGCTATCTGAACATCTAAGCTGCAATAATAATAAAAGCACCGAATTCATCAGAAACAACAAAGATGCCGTGTAAGAGATTAATTGTGCAGTGTAGTCAGATTTTTTATTAACGGCAGTATTTGCGAGATTAAACGGACCTTTCTGTACACAGTTTATTCCATGTTGTTGTTTTTTATTATTATTTTATTTTAGAAGAGAATTTGCGAAGTCTTGATTTACTACCAATGCGTAAAATAGAAAAAAAAGCATAAATGCATCTCCGACTGTTTTGTCTGTGTAGCCTATAAGAATAGGCCTATGTCGTGCAATAACGGTTTTAATATATTCTATTCAATAACATTGTTAACTGTTTTTATTTATAACGTCTGCTGCTTTGCTTCTGTGAAAATGAATAGAGACATCAGCCTTAAACTTTTGTCAGTACATTAATGGCACATTTGAGCAGCATTAGTAAACCGTGTAAATATAAAGAAATGTCAAATCACATGCACATGTTTTTTTCTTTTTTAAGATTTTATTATGATATGAAACGTCCAATTTTTCTTTCAATAATGTTTTTAAAAGTTTTGCAAGAATTTCGTGATACTAAACTTTTTATTAGTTGTCATAGCAAGTGATTTTAAAAGTAGGATGGCTCACTTTTTATAAGATGACTGAATTTTACATGAATTTGTAGTTTATTCTTACTTTTGGAAACCTAATTGTTTTATAATTACTATTCTTCTTCTTCTTCTTATTATTATTATTATTTCTGTTGTTTCTAGAAGTAGTAATAAAAAAAATATAACAACACAGTTTGTACACAGAATAATTACACATTATTAAATAA